AATAACAAGTGTAATATCCACTAAAGCAAAGCTTAAGTATATAACACCAACACCTTACCCAGCTTATCATTCAGTTCCAGAGGATGAATGCACCAACCTTTTAGGGGTCTGAAAACCCCACAGCTGTGCTGGAGTGGATCAAAGAACTGGACAAGATCTTTGCTTTACTTCCCCTGCCTGACCGTCAGCGAGTGTCCCTTGCAGCTTATTAGATGAAGGAGGACGCTTCCGACTGGTGGATTGACCACTAGGCTCGGAAGCCGGAGGCGAGCTTCATGCTCTCTCTTGGGAGCAAATGAAGATGATGGTGCGTAGCAAGTTTCTCCCCCAGAGCTTTTGGGACAAAATGGAGCATGAGTTCTACCACTTGCAGCAGGGCAGTTCCACGGTGGATGAGTATGTCCGTACTTTCACCTGCATGTGCCTTTTTGCAGGCGACGCAGTGAACACCGATGCCAAGAAGGCCCACAAGTTTTTTATGGGGCTCAACCAGAGGATCCGTGAGCTGGTGGGAAGTCACGGACTGATGTCTTATGTAGATACCGTGAGTAGGGCTCAGGAGGTAGAGAGTTGTCTCATCCCTTTGGCTCCCGTTCCTTCCTTCTATTATGCTTCCCAGCCGTCTCAGACTATTGTCCAGTATGCTCAGCCTATTTCCTCGGCACCGCCAGGCTCTAGTTCGGGTAAGAGAAAGTCAGATTCCCACCGGGATAACCGGAAGGGAAAACGAGGAGGTCCAGACCGGCGCAATCATCCCTCTTCTGGCAACCGCACCTGCAAGAAATGTGGAAAGTACCATAGTGGCGAGTGCTTAGCAGACCAGCGAGCCTGTTTCAACTGCAACCGTCCGGGTCATTATGCCAGTGTCTGTCCGGAGCCCAAGAGGTAGCAGCAGTTCCCTCAGCAGCAGCAGCAGCAGCTTCCCCTGCCGCCACCTCATCAGCAGCATCAGCAGCCCCCACCGTTCCAGCAGAGGGCTGGGGGTCAGGCTCGAGTCTATACCATCACCCACGATGAGGCCGCTCGCAATGCAGGTACCATGTCCGGAATACTTTCGATATCCCATGTGTCTGTCTTTGCTTTATGTGATATCGGTGCTACCCATTCTTTTATTTCTTCCCGTTGCTTGGAGGCTTTATCTATTAGCACCGTGCATGCTTGTGATCCTCTCGAGGTTAGTCTAGCCTCGGGAAAGATTATCATCTCTGATTCAGTGGTTCGCAATCTTCCCATATGTATTGGCGGTCGAGTTCTAGAGGCTGACGTCTATGTAATTGACATGCGAGGCTTTGACGTGATCTTGGGCATGGACTGGCTCACCCATTACCGAGCTGATATCCGGTGCCAGGAGCGCGAAGTCACCCTTTATCCCATTTTCGATCAGCCTGTTGTGTTCTTTGGGGTGAGTTCGAGGACTGTGCCTCGGGTCATCTCTTCTATGCAAGCTAGGAAGAGCCTTTCCAAGGGTAGCTGTCAAGGCTATCTTGTTTCCATGGTATCCGACGTCGTTGATGAGCGGGTGCCTGAGTGAGTATCTATCGTCTGCGAATACCTCGATGTCTTTCCTGATGACTTACCCGGAGGACCGCCAGACCGCCAGGTGGAGTTCACTATTGACCTAATTCTCAGAGCCGGCCCCGTTTCTAAGGCCCCTTATCGTATGGCGCCGAAGGAGCTTCAAGAGCTCAAGGCCCAGATCCAGGAGTTGCTCAAACTCGGTTTCATTCATCCGAGTGTCTCGCCGTGGGGTGCGCCCGTCCTATTCGTGAAGAAAAAAGACGGATCTATGCGCATGTGCATTGACTATCGGGAGTTGAATGCCCTTACAGTCAAGAACAAGTACCCTCTTCCCCATATTGAGGACCTTTTCGACCAGCTGAGAGGAGCCAACGTCTTCTCAAAGATTGATTTGCGATCTGGCTATCATCAGCTGAAGATCCGGGAGTCGGATATTTCCAAAACTGCTTTTCGTACCCGCTATGGCCACTATGAGTTCGTAGTCATGCCTTTCGGACTCAATAATGCCCCGGCCATTTTCATGGACCTTATGAATAGGGTCTTTCATCCTTTCCTGGACCAGTTTGTCATTGTGTTAATCGACGACATTCTGGTCTATTCCCGAGATATCGATCAGCACAAGGAGCATTTGAGGATTGTGCTGGAGACTCTTCGCCGCGAGAAGTTTTATGCTAAGTTCTCGAAGTGCGAGTTTTGGCTGAACCGTGTGGCATTCCTTGGCCACATTGTGGCAGCCCGAGGCATTGAGGTAGATCCCAACAAGATCGAGGCGGTGAGCAAATGGGATACGCCAAGAAGTGCCGTAGATGTTCGTAGTTTTCTGGGGTTAGCAGTATACTACAGGAGGTTTATTGAGGGCTTCTCGAAGATAGCTCAGCCGCTGACCAACCTTACGAAGAAGGCCGTGAGGTTCGATTGGAGTCCCCAGTGCGAGGAGAATTTCTGGGAGTTGAAGAGGAGACTCACTACCGCGCCTGTCCTATCCATACCCGACCCTACTTTGGAGTTCACCATCTATAGTGATGCTTCGAAGATGGGCCTGGGTTGTGTTCTCATGCAGCAGGGGAAAGTCGTAGCCTATGCTTCGAGGTAGCTGAAGCCTCACGAGCAGAAGTACCCCACTCATGATCTCGAGTTAGCTGCAGTTGTCCACGCCTTGAAGATTTGGCGGCACTACCTCTATGGAGGCAAGTGTGAGATCTTTACCGACCACAAGAGCCTAAAGTACATCTTCACTTAGAAGGAGTTGAACATGAGGCAGCGTAGGTGGTTGGAGCTGGTCAAGGACTACGACTGCACCATTAGCTATCACCCTGGGAAGGCTAATGTGGTAGCCGATGCCCTTAGTCGGAGGAGTTATGGCCAGCTTTTTTGCTTGTTTACCGGGCATGATGTTCTTCTTCGGGAGTTCGAGTGTTTTCGGCTAGAGGCAGTGGAGTCGACCTCAGCAGCCGGGGGCATGTTGGCCTCTTTGGTTGTGGGACCGACTCTTCGAGAGAGGATAGTCGCCGAGCAACCGAATGACCATTTCTTATGCCGTATAAGGGAGTTGTCAGCAGTTAGTAGAGTTGGTGGATTCGCAGTCGCATCTGATGGAGCCCTGGTCTTCGAGGGTAGACTATGTGTTCCGAAGGTGTGGGAACTGCGGAGAGAGATTTTGAGGGAGGCCCATAGTGCCCCGTACACCATCCATCCTGGTAGCACGAAGATGTATCAGGACCTGAGGAAGTATTTCTGGTGGCAAGGCATGAAGAGGCTGTTGGAACCCACGAGGATCTCGATATGCACAAATCACGGACAAACATTCAACATAAACCTATGCGCAGCGGATCTAAAGGTTTGATGAAGAAAACTTACTGCTTAAAATTTATGTAGATCTCGCTGGCCCGGACAGTTGACCGCAAATCAAAACTTCTCAGAATCGAACAAACTTGACCAATCCAGAAAGCTGACGTCACGGCGAAGTCAACGGCGTTGACCGATCAGAAAAAGTTCGATTCACGCGCTCTCACGCGCGCGCGTTGTCCTCGGCAGCTGGAACCTTCTGGCGGCACGTGCGGTGGCGGACGGCGGCGATCTCGACGGCGATCTCTTCGTCTCGTCGTCCTGGTCGTCGTGGTATGGTCATTGCTGGTTGTGGTCTCCAGTTTGGATGTATGATTGGAATCTCTGTATACCTTAAGATCTTCTACTGTATTCTCAAACAGCTTTCTAGATCTTGTATCAGTGGAACACAAGAAATAGAAGAACTCCTTGGAAGAGAGAGAGATGGGCTGGACGTTTCCCAAGGATTATGGGATTGTTCTCTCCTCTTCCATGAGCCTAATGCTGTATATATAGAGCTACAGTAGGGACCCTAAGGAGAATAGGATAAGGGCTTC